GTGGAAGTCACGGACACTGCACACAATCAATATGATTAAAGCAGATGCCAATTTATTGCCCAAATAGCTTGGTTTACATAAGTATTTTAGTTCCTGCTCATGCGTAAGCCATCTGTTGATTGGTTAGCATGTGCTGTCCACGCGCCTAAAACAATAATTTCATAGGATAAGGCCTTCTGATCACGCGAATGTTTCCTTCCGCCTGTATCTTGTCTTGTGTCCTGCTTTCAGTCAGGTAGGCCCAACTTTGTTCAGCTTTTTGTGCTTATTTCATCAAACTTTGAAGTAACAGTTAGCCTTGTTTTAGTTTTCGTAAAACACGTGCTCACTTCATTAAACTTGTAGCAACAGTTAATCTTCGCTAGGTCCTTGAGGCCTGCTGCCTGCAGAGGCCTCTGGCTCACGGAATAATCAGTTCCATTGTGCCTGGATTGTTCACTATATGTCCATTGTTTTCTAAATATCCCACAAATCCCTCTTTTTGTTTTTGAACAATCCAGACTTTGGCCATTGCGTTCTGTACCACCTTTTCTATACAATTGAGTATACAAGGGATAATTAGTAACAAGACTAATAATACTAACAAAACAATTCCCAACATTTTTAACAAATCTTTTACCCATCCCATAATTCCCCATTGGGTAAACAGTCTGTCTAACCATCCCAAACCATCACTAACCTGCAGCTTTTGAACTTGATCTTTCATCTTTTGTATAGCTTTATGGATCGATTCAGAGTGATCGGATAAATTCATACAACACATTCCATCTAAATCTTCACAACCATGACCATGTACTAACAACAAAAAATCAATAGCAGCTCGATTCTGCAGCGTTGCATGTCGTATGCTATCAACATCTTTAAGCAGGCCATCTAGGGCTAGTCAAGTTAAATTACTCTGTTTGGCCAGCCAACAGCCCAACTTTCGCAGACTCGTTAAAGCACTTGCAACTCCTACTCCTGGGGCTAAAAGGCTGGCTGCCACAATTTTGCTAGGCGACCAAAATTCCACTTGATCATTGCATTCTGATTCAAATGCATGGTAACCAATTTTGCATTTTTGTCTTTTGTGTTTCCTTCTATGTTGCCAAATTTGGGTGTTGTTGGGAAGTAATACAGTCAAACAACCCAAACTACATGGCCCACCCTGCAAATGAGAGGGTATGCCGGGCCAGGCTCAGTCCCCACAAATCAAGAATACCCCTGGGGGTAATTGTATTGGTGTATTGCTAGATCTCAAACGGGTTGAACTAGTATAATTACACCAATCACTTGCATTGCGATACACAGGCAACGTTGCATTGACTATTTGTCCTTTTTTAGTATGATTACTGCTATAGTTAAACATTACACAAAAATCCATTTTTACAGAACCTAAAAGTTCTATTTCTTGTGGTTCCACTACCGCCTTAGGTAACCATGGCATAATACCATCCCAGTTGTCAACTTTGCCAGTGCCCATGGTCACGGATGATGGCAGTCTTGTACTTGGCAATGGCCATGCCTCATTGTCCAAAGGCACCCCCACCAAACATGTAGAAAATGGGTTGTCGGGGCTGGCCATAGCCAAACACAGGGTTGATTGATGGGTAAGGTTGGCAATCGTGAGCCATATATTTGTCTTGGGTAAAGAAGGAGCCCAAAATGCTCCAGCACCTTGACAAAACATTGAAACAACAAACCACCACTTCAGCATCTTTAACCTAAAATAGAACAATAACAACAAACGACAGATTGGGCACGGTGATCATCCGACTTGCTTGATTCTGAAGACAAACAGCTGGCGAAAATGGTGGTACACGATCGATCACCGCCCATTCAAGTCTCTGTCAAAACCAAAAATGATGAAATCATGAATCAGATATCACTTTCCTTGTTTCCACGGTTTCACCCATCGGCTTGGCACCCATTTTGGTCCTTCATCTGTTAAAACACAAACATAACCACGACCGGTCAGTTTCACTTCTACTGGACCTTTCCATTCCCCAGTTCGTAAATCCCGATATAGCACTTTAATTGCATCAGTTTCTTTTTGAATCCCTGATTGCAATGACATGTGATGAATTACAATGGGAGGAGAGTCTCTTCCTTCTGTCAAACGTAAATAGTTCAACACATACAGCGCTTTTGCAAGTCTCTCAGAAGGTGGCAACAGTTCTCCCTCTTTTTGTTTTTGCAAAAGCGATTTAAGAGTCCCATGAGCTCTTTCCACAATGGCTTGTCCAGTGGGCGAGTGAGGGATACCTGTCAGATGACGAATTCCCCATAAGGTACAGAATTTGCTAAAAGAAGTTGAAACATATGCAGGACCATTATCCGTCTTAAGCTCCCGCGGGATGCCCAAGACTGCAATGGCACTGCGCATATGTTTCATCACATGTTTAGCTGTCTCACCTGTTTGAGCAGTTGCCCATATCACATGTGAAAATGTGCCAATGCAAACATGGACATACTTTAAACGGCTAAATTCAGGCACATGAGTGACATCCATCTGCCACAGTTGTAAAGACTTTAAACCTCGAGGATTCACTCCAATGCCTAAGCCAAATCCTACCTTTTGACAAGCAGGGCACGACTGCACATTGCCTTGCGCATTAGAGACTTTCAAGTTGAATTGTCACACTAAAACTTTTGCTGACTGATGAAAAAAGTCGTGCGATACTCGGGCCTGCTCAAACAGGTTAATTCTGTGCTGCTGCCATGCAGGAGCAACTAATTTGTCTGCAATATTGTTGCCAATAGACAATCCATGCTGAAAATGATGATTGCGAATGTGAGTAATAAAATACTCACTTTGTCTCTGATTTAACAAAAACAATAAGTGCATCAACAACATATGTAAAACAGGATTTTTTACTTGCTTAATCATTGCTTGTTCTAATCTTTGGGTGGCTCCCACCACATACAAGGAGTCTGACACAACATTGACAGGTGTATCAAGCCAATGTTGAAAGACCCACAAAACTGCTCGTAATTCTAAAGTTTGCAAAGAATCCCCAGTATGTCCTGAAAGTAGCTGTTGATGCCACTGATCATTTTCATACCAGGCTACAGCAGCTTGTTTTGATTTTCTTCCTGCATCTGTAAATACTGTTAATCCATCAACAGGAGTTTCTGACCTGATTGGTTTTTCTTCAAATTCTTGATTTTGTAACAATGGTAACAGTTTATCAGAGGGATAATGATTTGTGATTTTTCCTGGATATTCTGCTAAAGCAATTTGAATTATTTCTGAGGTGGCCATTAGCCAGTCCAAATAGTCTTGCCTTATTGGCACAAGCATGGTTTCAGGCTCATGCCCTGAAATTTCCAAAACTCTCTTTCGACCTTTCATCATCAAATGTGCTAATTGTTCAATTTTAGTATATACAGTAGTTTTAGGTTGAAAAGGCAAAAATACCCATTCCAAAATAGCAATTTTCTGTTTTGTTATTTGAACTATCAATCCAATGTGGTGTTTTCGTTGAACTGAAGTATTAATCAGTAAGAATTGCAATGGCAAATCATTTATTTTTCTCTGCACACTATTAGAAATCACTTTGTCAATGATCTTATCGAGTGCATCTTTTTGTTCAGATGATAATTTTCAATAATCATTTGCTCCTCTTGTTGTCCCTAAAAGTGGCATCAAGGGCTTTAAATCATCATTGGTAATTCCCACAATGGGTCTTACCCATTGAATGTCTCCCATCAGTTTCTGAACATCTGCAAGGTTTGAAATTTTGGAATTCAGCACAATTTTCTGAGGCTGTACCACACTTTCTGTAATGATCCAACCTAAATATTTCTATGGATTTGAACACTGAACTTTTTCTGGGGCTATTTTCAGACCTCTAGGCTCCAATTCTTCAGTGATCTCTGTTAAGGTTTTACTTGTGTCCATATTTTCTCCTGCAACCAATATATCATCCATATAATGGTATATCAGCAATTCTGGATTGTTTCTTCAAAAAGACTGTAATGCCCATGATACAAATGTCTGACATAATGTAGGTGAATTTTTCATGCCTTGTGGTAACACCACCCAATGATACCTTTTGGCTGGTTCTGATTTGTTAATTGAGGGCACTGTAAATGCAAATTTTTCAACATCATTGGGATGTAAGGGAATTGTGAAAAAGCAATCTTTCAAATCAATATGTTCTGGAATCATAACAGGGGACGGCAGACCTGGTTGCAAAGCACCCATATCTTGCATGACTGCATTTTCGAAGGTCGTGTAGCAACCTCCATTTTCCTGATTTTTTAGGAATTGCAAAAATGGGTGTATTCCATGGACTTGTGGAAGATACAATATGTCTTGCTACCAATTGTTCATTCACTAATGTTTGTATGATTTGCAGCCTATCTTGTTTCAGCGGCCACTGATCCACCCACACTGGTTTGTCTGTTTTCCAGGTGAGTTTTAATACAGGCTGCTCTTCAGAGGCCGCTCCTAAAAAGGTTGTGTAACTAAATGAGCACCCATTTGGGATAAAAGATCCCGACCAATTAGAGCTATCGGTAAGTGCATCACATATGGTCGAGTAGTTACCATAGTGCCATCTGAAAAACAAAAGGAAATTGGTATTTTACTGATCATTGTTCGTTGAACGCCTCCTACTCCCACTACCCCTGTAGCTGTGGGCACTAGCGGCCACTGACTAGGCCATCTGCCTGCAGGGATGATGGTAATGTCAGCTCCAGTATCTGTCAGCATTGACATTGCCAGGGATTGTCCATTAGGGTGCGATATTGTGACTTTTTCCTCAGGCTTTCCTCTAGCAATGTCAACAGCTAACAGCACTTGAGGCTGACCCGTGGAACCGAAACCCCCATGGCCTCGTTCCACGGCCTGCGCTCTGGGCCCACATGCCCGAAATGGTACCAGCTGGGCTATTTTTGATTGAGCTGGTATGGTAACAGGAGGAGTCAGCGTATAGACCATAATTTTTATCACACCACAATAATCTGCATCAATAAGTCCTGGCACTATAAAAATGCCCATCCGAGAAACAGAAGAACGACCCAATATCAATGCACTTTACCCATGCCCTAATGGTCCTTTTTGATCAGAATCTATAAGTTGCACTTCAGATGTTACCAGTGTAATGTCTATTGCTGTTGCCAAGTCCACCCCTGCGCTTCCGCTGGTTGCAGCCGCGCAGCGGTCCAGGCACCCTCTACTTGTGTCGTCGTGCACGGGTGAGTCGTGCTCTGCAACTTGTTTCCTGATCTCTTGCACTGTTGGGTGTTATGATTGTTTCGCTGACAGTTTACACACCATTTTTTCTGTGAATCACTCGGGTTGATTACACTTGAGCCAACAGCTATTTGGCTCCTGCAATCCTTTTTAAAATGTCCCATTTTTCCACAATGAAAACATTTTTTATCTTTTCACACTCCTTTGCCTTTTGTTAAGGGGTCCTACCGCAGTGGCCATCACTGTTGCTTTTTCTGATTCTAGCATCCGCTCTGCAGCTTCCAACAGCTGAGCGGTGGTAGAACCTTTTGGCAGTATACTAAGAGCTTTTTTGGTTTTTTCATTGGCATTATCAAAAGCAAGCATATCCAAGGACCTGGTTTTCATTTCAGGATCTAAATCAGGGTGTGCCATGA